CTTTAATACTGTTCATAACCTCATAACCTTAATTTGGCCTAAGATAATTTGAAAAAATGGGTTTGAAGTAACTACAAAATACTAGAACATTACTATTTATTATTGCCAAATGACTCAGTGGTAACTTAGAATCAAGGATCTCATATGGTGATATTGAATTTTGGTGATTTAATATATAACAGTTCTCTGAAGCTCATATCGAATGCCTTAGGTCTATATATACATCATTTATTCTTAGGAAATGAAATTTGGTTTGGAAATAAAGTATTCTGGTATGATATGAAAATATTCTATACAAGTCTCATTAGGAAATATATTTGGGAAGATTTTTGTCAATATCTCTTGAATATCAACTCATATTTTTAAAAAGAACATTAATTCTGAAGTCACTGTTACCTTAAAAATAGTTATTTATGTAAGATTTCCAATTTTTCCAATTTTTTATATTAATAAAACCCTCTCATATATAGTTGAATTACTTTATATATCTTTTAGCACATCTACTGAAATTGTAGATTAGCACAAAAGTTCTAACCAAGTATGGAAAATATGATATGTGGTAAGGAAAAGAAAATGAACCTTTTAAAACTCATGATTGTGCCAATGAAAGTGGCTTTAGAAAGTAACTTTTTTTTCACTCTTTGTCCAACTTCAGTGGACAGGTAGGGGTGTCAAATGCAGAGGCTGTAGATCTATGTTATGTGTAAACAAGAATCGGAATAAATTGTCTGATAAAGGAACTTTGCCCCCAGTTACAAAGGCTTTCTGTTAAAAGCCTTAAATATAATACCAATAAAGAGTAGTTAAACATTTAAGGTATAAAACCTATTGAAAATGATGTATACATTTGTCTGTGTCTGAGCAAATCATGACTGCATATAATGAACCTCTAGTGTTTGACATTATGTGTTTTTTTTCCTAGTCTGTGTTCAGATTTGATTGTTCTCATTCCAAAGTCATGACAGCTTTGAATTGTAGTCAGTTTGTAACCATAACTTTTGCCTCAGGTTATAACTTATTTACCATTATTACTATAGTTTTTTATAATTTTTTATATGTTTGACTGGTTGAAGGGTATAATTTTATTCAGCTTCATGATGCATACTATCTTATATACCGATGGCATCACCAAGTGATCTAATAAGTAAAATAAAAAAATCAGCAAAGGGATAAAGATAGAAATGAGGTCTGTTTTCATTGAATTAATAATAGTAAGGAAGAACTGAAAGTTATTCAAATAGACCTAGAGGGAAGTCTTTCTTGAAAACAAGACATAATTATGCCTTCTTTGCAGTCAGTGTAGTCAAATAATGAAAGCTTAGCCTGAAGGCCCTAAAATCTTTTAATTTTTTGCTTGGTAAACAATGTAATGTAATGTAAACAATGTAATTTTTTTTTAATGGCTCAAGGCCATGGTTAGTCTACAAGGCCTAGGGACTTGAGAATGTGGGGAGCTGTTTGTCCCTGTTAAATAGCTGCAGAATGCATTTATTGTGTCTTTTCTTACTAGTTTTAAAAAACTATGTTTTTTTCTCATTATCTCATCTTTCTGCTTTGTGTCTACTAGCATGTTTCTAATCTGCTGCCAAAATTTAGGTGCAATACAAGACCTGCCTTGTCCCCTTCTCAGTTCTTCTAGGAAGTCAGGTCTTATGCCAATTTATTCATTTATTCTTATTTATTCTTTCAGGTTAGTCACCAATCTTGGTTTCCAGTACGACAAACCTATTCCCTAATGCTGGAAACTCTTTTCAATGCCTGCTTCTCATAGCTCTCAGCCAGCCAGGTGCCCCCTTTTCTTCTTCTTCTTTTTTTTAGTGTTATAACAAAAATGCTTTATGGAAGGATTGGAAAATAAAATAGAATGAGAGAGGGAAGATCTGTATAATTCAGAGGAAATTCCCAATTGCTTTTGGAACACCTCTGTTTCCAGAGGCAGTGGCACTACTGTGCTGTGGTGTCGAGGAGGACAGTGACCGCACATGGCGGGGGTTGCTAGGGAGGTCCTGGGAGACAGGCAGTGAGGCTGGATGAGAACTTTGGTTCAGCGGATATCTTATGGTCTGTCTGACAAAGTGTTATAGGAGATAGTTATACTGTAGCGGTGCCCTGAGTAGAAGAAAATTATTTTCATGGATTTAAACATTTGTCATCTTTTAGAGAACTCAGGCTTAGCCCGATGGAACTTCCCCAGAAAGCAATTACTAGACAGTGTTTTTCCTGCTTTCATTCACTTTCCCAGAAGGAAGTGGTACGCTTTTCTGAAGATAAGCCCCAGGCCTGGCACCAGAAAGTAGCCTGAGCCAGGGGCCATAAATTTAACCACTTGTAAGCATGTTTAAGTGCTGTATCAGTTTTGATTATTAACTTGAGGTTTTTGGACCCCCAGAGCAGTGGTTCTTAAACTTATTGGTTTCCAGGCCCCTTTATCATAAAAGTTATTGAGAACACCAGAGAGCTTTGGTTTCTGTGGGCTGTATCTACCGATATTTACCAAATTAGAAATTAAAACCGAGAAAAATTTAAAACACGCAAATACACAAGCCCCCATCTCATTAACTGAGTGATGGAGCCACCACATGTCCTGGAAAACTGCTGTATCCTTGGGAGAGAATAAGAGTGAAAAAGCAATTAACATTGTAGTATTACTGTGAAAGTAGCTTTGACTTTGTGGATCCCTCCCGACAATGTCTTGGGGAAGCCCAGGGATTCTTAAACCACACTTTGAGAACTGTTGCCCTTGTGGTCTATGAATAGAATTCAGGAGATTTGAGATCCTGGAGGAGAAAAATTATTACATCTTTATTTTCACTAATTTCCAACAGAAACATTATTTCCTTTCATTTCTAATGTAGGGATAAACCACAGCAATATCGGGAGTGCCTGTGACTTTGTTACCAATAGAAATCACACATATGTTCATAGATTATTGTAGATATCTTAAAAGTGACTTGTCAAGTTATTGTAGATATCTTAAAAGTAATTTATGGTCATAATTACTTTGAAATTATCGTAGTTATTAGACCTGCTTCTAGATCTTGTTACTGTGTTAAGAAAAGGCACCCAGGTTAATATTTTATAATTTAAAGATAATAAATATATTTTAATATAATCAATTTCTTTTCAAGCCTTTGTCTTGTATGCACTTAAGGACATCAGGTGAAGAGCTCTTTAGTATTTCTTTTTTTTTTTTTTAAATGTTTTATTTATTTCTAAGAGAGAGAGAGAGACAGCGTGAACAGGGGAGGGTCAGAGAGAGAGGGAGTCACAGACTGAAACAGGCTCCAGGCTCTGAGCTGGCAGTCAGCACAGAGCCCGACGCGGGGCTCGAACCCACGAACCGTGAGATCATGCATGACCTAAGCGAAAGTCGGACGCTTAACCGACTAAGCCACCCAGGTGCCCCGCTCTTTAGTATTTCAAGGGCCTGAGAAGGACTCCAGTCTGTTGTCCTCATGGAGATTTCTACCATGCATTGGTTGGGATCCTAGTGATAAGCTGAGATCCTCAAAGGTCAGCACGGAAGTGTGCTCTAGTTGGGTAAATTCACTGTTGACAAGCTAGTATGTGGCTTACACTTCATTCTCGGTTATTCCAGTGTAGACTTCAGAGTTGGACTTCCCAGCAGGGAATTAGATATTTGTCTACTGGTTTGAGGAGTAATCCATCTTATTTTTTCTTAGAGAGTCAGAAATAGTCTATTGGCTTAAAAAGCTTGTTCTACTTGGATTATGGCATTATGAGATCTTGTCTGAAATGCTCTGCAGCCAACTCTGAATTGTCAACACGTATGAATGAGTGTGCGGTGCTCAAAAGGATTCTAAGTTAAATAACCCAAACTAAGAAGTAAATGAATAAAATTGAGGTTGTTCTTTTCACTTGTTGGAATAAGCTCATTGGTATTTTTCAGGGGCTGTATGAGGGTCAGAAGTAGGAAGTGATTCTGAAGGGACATAGCCATGACCTTTGGATCATGTGGTTCATCTTTATTCTTGGATAATCTCTGAACTGTAAACCCTTTGAAGATGTTACAATGATGTTTTAAGACAGAGCACTATAGTCAGAGTCAATGGCTTTAGTTTTTGTTCTGCCTTTAATTAGCTGTGGGATCTTGAAGAGAATGTCTCAGCCTCTAGCTCTCAGTGTCTTTGTTAACTGCTGCAGAGCTTCTCCAGATCAAACATTTTATAACAACTAGAAATTTGGGAATATGTTCATTAGTTGAAATTTACTGAACACCTACTATGAGCCAAACGTTATGTCAGGCACTGGGAACTCAATAGAGAACAGTACACGGTCCCTGCCCTCAAGTAGTCTAGAGTGTAGAGTTTAACCAGCAAATGAGGCTTCATGTAGAAACCACTTTCTAGAGATAAAATACTAGAAATTGACGGTGAATTCTGTGCAGGTTGCCAATTCACATTCATGTAGCATCAGTGGGGTCACTCAGTATTAACTGGAAACTAGGAAAGAGTGGCCCCTGATTATCTTTCCATAATGACCTTTCATTCATCTAATCAACCTCTATCAGTGGCCTAAAGTGTAATGGATACTATGGTAGACCCTGGGTCATAGGCTCCCTGCCCTGAAGAATGTTATGGGGCAAAAAGATAGAAACTACTAATTAAGGTGATAAGGCTATGATAGTGTATGTACAAGGTATTTTGCATGTACATTTGACCCAGTCAGATATTGGTAGTTGTAGGAGGTTAAGGAGTGTTCCACAGAGGAGTTGGCATAAATAACTGGACCTTGAGATTTGAGTAGCAATTTGTAAAGTAGAGAAGTGAGAGAATTTCAGTGTGAGCATGGTTTGCGATCTAGCCTGGTACCTCTGTACATTTCAAATTTTGAATATCTGGGCAGGGGAGATACTATCTTTTAAATGCCTTGATATAAGATTGAAAACATTGATGAGGGGGGTTGGGTTTTTTATTTTGCTTTTGGTTGTAACATCTCATTTGTAACTTTTTCTTCAATGTTTGTATATACATTTTTAGAAAAAACACCCAGGTTAATGCCTGATAAAGGAAGCATGTATTACCCACGAGTACAACATTATCGAGAACTGCTTGATTCATTGCCAATGGATGCATATACACATGGCTGCATTTTACATCCTGAACTAACTGTGGACTCCATGATCCCAGCTTATGCAACCACAAGGATTCGCAGTATGTAACAATCTTAAAGACTTGGAATTCTATCTCAAGTTTCTTTTAATTCATTTTTGGGACCTGGCACATCTCATGAAGACCTGGGTACAGGGTTGTTGAGTTTGCTGCAAGGATGTTCATATTACAGATTGATCCATGCATTAGATTAATATGTGCTTCGGGTGCTTAGCTGGACATTTATTGTCTATAGGAACTGATTTTCCAGCTCTTGGCCTTGAGGGCCAAGCTTGGATAAAACTCAGAAAAGAGGCCTGTGGAAAAGAACATAACATAACATGTTCTCACAGGCATATGGACTAAGAATCATGAAATCTGGAAACTGCTGGGGATTAAGCGGAGCTGAGTTCACATTTCTTGTCCTTCATTCTTGTTTTATTATGTGAGGGAGCTGGACTACAGGCTGTGTAACTATTACTCTACCTCTAAATTCAGTGATTCGGGATTTATTGAGTTGTGATATCCAGCTCTCTCCTTGTCTGAGGCCAGAGTATGGTCAGTGCATGGGATGTGGAGAAGGAGATGTGCTCTATGGCACATGTGACCGGGATAGGAAAGTAAGGGAAGGTGGCTGTGGTCAGGCTCTGGGGATGTTTGTAGAAACACTCAAATGCAGATCTTCTAATTCCAGAAACTATGTTCTTTCCACTACATCATATCTTACCTTTATAATTCTCTTACTTAATGTTACTTTTCTTTCCTTTTGTACTTTTCCACCTTCCTCCTCTTCCTTCCCCTCCTTTGTTCTCTTCCCACTTTACTGTCTTGTTCCTCTTCCTCCTCTTCATAAGTACTCGTTATATGATTTGAAGCAAGTGTTCTGACTATAATCCTATCACCTAGAGTTACTGTTTTTTCAAAATAAGGCTTTTGCCTTCCCTTCATATAGAAGTCCATTATAGAAAACCTGAAAGGTATTGAAAGATAGAACAACTACTGTGCACTGAGCACTTCTGGTGTACTGGCCTTGCTCAGAGAGCTTTCCTGGGTATCTCACATTTAATCGTTAGCCTATGCAGCAGATACTCTGATGGTTCCATCTTGCATTTGAGGAAACCAAGGCACAGAGAGGGTACGCCCATGGTGGAGGAAGGGGGTGAATCTCAGAGCTCATGTTCTTACCATGGAACTTCCCAGTTTCTCTTTGTTTCTTGTATAGAAGGGAGGAAATAACTTCCTGTTTCAAAAATGATTTTATTCTCAGGCCAGATTGGTAACACAGAATCTGAACTGAAAAAACTTGCAGAAGAAAACCCAGATTTACAAGAGGCATACATCGCAAAACAGAAGCGACTTAAAGTAGGTAAACCTGGCTGTCCTCAACTGACATCCACTGTTTGTATTAAATGTTCTACTTTTTGTAAAGTATCATTATTTCTAGAACATCTTCACTTAAATATTGCAAGTCACCAGTGCATCTTACCTTTGACTTATGCTCTGCTTTTAGAAAGAATTTTTCTTTCTTAGATTTGATATTCAAACCGAATGACAGGTGCCTAAAAAGGCAGGTATTGCTCATGCTCGTTGCCAAGGAAAGTTACAAAATGTAAAAGCAAATTCATAATATATACTTGGAATCTGTCATTTCAGGTATTCCGCCTAGCTAGACCTTTTTTTTTTTTAAATATCAATAAGGAAATTGGCAAGTTTATTCTAAATATATTCCCCTCCCTCCGTTCATTTTTTTTTTTTCTTTTTATCTTTCACCCGTTTCTTCCTCCTCTAACCCTCGCCTCTGGCAACCATCAATCTGTTCTCTCTATCTGTGGGCTTGGTGTTTTGTTTTGTTGTTGTTGTTTTTAGATACCACATATAAGAGAGATCCTAAAGTACTTGTCTTTCTCTGTCTGACCTATTTTACTTAGCTTAGTGCCCTTGAGGTCCATTTATGTTGTTGAAAATGGCAAAATTTCATTTTTTTAATGCTTGAATAATATTCCATTGTGTATATATGCCACATCTATTCATTCATCCATGGATGGACACTTAGGTTGCTTCCGTATCTTGGATATTATAAATGAAGCTGCAGTGAACATGGGGGTGCATATATCTTTTCAAGTCAGTGTTTTCATTTTCTTTGGATAAATACCCAGAAGTAGAATTGCTGGATCACATGGTGGTTCTGTTTTTAATTTTTTGAGGAACCTCTATATTGTTTTCCATAATGACTGTGCCAGTTTACATTCCCACCACTTATTACTTCCCTTTTTGATAATAGCCATTCTTATGGGTGTGAGGTGATATCTCATGGTTTTGATTCGCATTTCCCTGATGATTAGTGATGTTGAGCATCTTTTCATATAGCCTTTGGCCATCTGTATGTCTTTGGAAAAATACCGGTTCAGATATTTTGCACATTTTAAAATCAGAGTTTTGTTGTTATTGTGTTGTAGGAGTTCTTTATATATTTTGGATGTTAGCCCTTATCATGTATATAATTTGCAAGTGTTTTCTCCTGCTTAATTGGCTGCCTTTTCGTTTTATTGATGGTTTCCTATGTTGTGCAGAAGCTTTTTAGTTAATGTTGTCCCACCTGTTTACTTTTTGTTTTTGTGTGTCAGATTCATAAAATCATTGCTAAGGCCTATGTCAAGGAGTTTACCACCTATGTTTCCTTCTAGGAGCTTTCTAGTTTTTTTAGGTCTTATGCTCAAGTCTTTAATCCATTTTGAGTTAATCCATTTTGACTTGTCTGCCTCCTAAGGAGGCCCTGGGCTTCGCTTCATCAGTTATAGTCAGCCTTTCCCTCTCTGGTGATTCTTTCCTCATGGCCCAAGAACTCACGCACACTTCTCCCACGTTAAAAATGTAGGAAACATCAGCACCTTCCACCCTCCTCAACTTCCCGCCTTCCATCATCATCTTATCTTAGCTAAGTGAGCTTCTCAAAAGAAATGCCTTCACACAAAGCACCCCTTACTTTCCACTCTTTTTTAACTCTCTGCATTCAGATTTCTTCCTCATGCCTGACCCTTCGGTCCTTCATTCCTCGAAAGCTGCTGAAGTTCCATTCATTAGTTGGGGTTGAGAGGAGTCCCTTTGTGCCCCTCATATACTTTGCTATTTCTGGTCCACTGGTCCCACAGGACTTGCCAGTGAGCATTGGGTCTGGCCCGGGGAGTATTCACCCAGCCAGAGTATTTTCCCTCAAGTTTGCCTTTGCTTTAACATTATTCTGTATCTTCTCATTGTCTCGAATAAATAGGCTCCAGCTCTGGAAGAGTTCATATCTGCTTTCCTCTATATTGATTGTTTTTTGCAGGCATAAATAACCTCTTTTGTTATTTTTGCTAATTAGTCAAAACTTCTTGACCATGACAATGTCAAATATTTGAAGAAAATTCTTGATGAATTGGAGAAAGTCTTGGACCAGGTTGAAACTGAGTTGCAAAGAAGAAATGAAGAAACCCCAGGTAGGTTCTCATTTGTGTTTAGGGTTTTGTTTTTCTTTCTTTTGCCGGATGCCAGGCTATTTATGGGAATATTCTTAGATTTTACCAAAAACATCCTGTAATCTGTTTTTTATTATTTTTATTCATGGGCAGTTTAAATTATCATGGCAACCATACTACTGAACTCAGCAAAACCCAGGCATCTGACAGTATCCCAGTCTGTCTGTGTGAATGTGACTGGTGGAGGATTTTTCTGCACAATTTAAAGTTATGGTTGAGAGATTCCTACTTAGCCCATTTCACACATTCGTAATAACAGTAGTTCCTTTGGTTGAATAACCTGTGTGATTGCTTGAATGGTCCCTCCAGTTTTCTCTCTAGGCAGGAAGAGTACTTCCAGTCTGTGTGTGTCTGCGGCCTGGCTGCTGAGCATCCGGGTGTTGCACCTGTGAGCCTAACTGCACCACCTAGCCATCGCCCAGGTGCATGCACATTTGTGCCATTCTAATTGGCAACAAGTTCAAGACGTGTTATGTGAAACTTGCTTCACAATAGGAACTTGTGCTTTATATAACTAACTAGGAGCAGCGATCACCTGAGTGACATTTCAGGCCCAATTTTAAGGGTTTTTCTAAAGCTTACTTGCTGTTTTCCTAAACCGGGAGGAAAGTTCTGTTGACTCCTCTGGGTTGGAGGCTCTCAACTCCTCAGAATCCTTTTCAAAATGAAAGGTGTTGAGCTCAAGTGGCTCCAGTCTGACCCAGGGTTGTACGTGGCTGACAGATATCAGGTGAATCTCCCTTAGCTTGGGATACCTTGGCGTGGACTTTGTTTTAGGATGTAATTACTTGCTGAGTTTGATTGTCAAGAAAATGTACCATGGCCTTCATCTTTTGCTGTGCTCACACTTGCCCTCAAGACTGAGACCAAAAATGCCAACCAGAGTCTCTCTGTACGGCACATGCCCCTAACTCTCCGTGTCCCTTTCTCTGATTAGAAGAGGGCCGCCAGCCTTGGCTCTGCGGAGAATCCTTCACCCTGGCAGACGTTTCGCTCGCTGTCACATTGCATCGGCTGAAGTTCCTGGGGTTTGCGAGGAGAAACTGGGGAAATGGAAAGCGACCAAACTTGGAAACCTATTACGAACGTGTCTTGAAGAGAAAAACATTTAACAAGGTTCTAGGACATGTCAACAATATATTAATCTCTGCAGTGCTGCCAACAGCGTTCCGGGTGGCCAAGAAAAGGGCCCCAAAAGTTCTTGGCACCACCCTTGTGGTTGGTTTGCTTGCAGGAATGGGATATTTTGCTTTTATGCTTTTCAGAAAGAGACTTGGCAGCATGATCTTAGCACTGAGACCCAGACCAAATTATTTCTAGGCTTGTAGGGATCTCATGGTGACGACTCATCCAACTATTCAACTAGACCCTTGTCCACTCCTCCAGGCCCAGTGGAGAATGACCCTGGGCAACTAGTAAAAAGTTTATTTACCTTACTCTTTGAATAGTTTATGTGGGGAGAGGAGATAATGAAAATGTTTTTGTGGGCTGGTCACTTTGAGATCATTTCTTTGCAAACCGGAACAAATCCATCCCTAAAATGTGCAAGGTCAAGATAATGTAAATGCTGACAGAGAATCAGACCTTTAGCTCAAAACATCAGTTCAAATTCTGAATTATTTGGGGGGAGAAGGTTCTTACTGTAAGCAGACAGTAATAGCCTGTGATTGCCCATAGGTGTTCATCTGAGACTATCTGGATGTGCTGAGTGTTGAGTAGTTAGCATCATTTTCCACTGGAATTCAGAGATCCCCTTTGTTTCACAGCCAGTCCAGCCAGCAGCAGGGTGCAGCAGCATTTCATATGATCACTGTTAGCTTCGGGCAGAAATGAGAGACACAAAGCGAACAGGGAGAGGGAAAACAGGGAAAATGGAGTCCATATAGTGAAGAGTGAAGGTGACTTCCAGGTGTCTCCGACACCACTCATGGCTGCCTGTCCCCTCAGTAAACATTACATTTGGCTACTTGTGGCCATTGCCCACATAGCCTCCTGTAGTTGAGAAACTGGGGAAGAGGACTAGTGAGTTACTGGGGGAATAGACTGGAGAAAACCCTGGGCTTTACACTCAGAGCTCCTCATCTGACCTTAGTACTAATTTTAAATATATGAATCACACTCACTGTTTTAATAAGATTAACTGCTAATACACTTTGGTGAAATGCCCACTGAAACATTTCTGCTTAGCACTGACATGAACATCTTGAGTGATATAAGATGGTTCCTTTCTTCTTTCTTTTCCTCATGGTTCCCCCAATTGGATGCTGCCTGAGAAATATTCCTATGGACTGTTGTCTCTGGTCACTGGGTGTCTTGCCTTCTACAGCCCCTTTTAGCACACAGGTGGGAGTCAGGTGCAGGTCTCAGCCAATCCCTAACATGGCACGTGGCTAGGTAGTAGGTGTTTGAATGATCTGGAAGTACTCAATATGCTCATTCTGATTTTGAAGAGGCTGGTGTGTTAAACCGTTGTCTAGGCCTTGCATCTGTTGATTGTTATTAACAGAGCCCTAAAAGGTTAAAGAGAAAGAGAAAACTCTAGTCTTAGCCCATGCAAATTAATTTAGGGGAAATGAAATAAGTCAATAGTGAGGTCCATTTGTATTCTTCATGTGTGTCTAGGCATTTCAGGGGGTCCCTCAGTCCATCTGGAAGGGATAATCCCAGTGTGTTCTGTGAATGACTATGGAACTGCATTAATACAGTTTTCACTCAGATAAAACTTCTCATGGTGACAGGAAGATATAGTTTCCCTGCCATTGGCCTGAAAGGAGTTGGGGGGACAGTTTTAGGTCTCCGGCAGGAAGTATGTATAAGGAATGATGAGCTAAGGTTCCAGCAAATAACAAAAGCTTGCTTGGATTGCCTCAGGCTGGCTATGCAAAATAGTCAAAGAATGTACTGACTTTTTTATTAATAGGGAACAGTCAAACTTAGGAAACAATGACTTTTGATGGTAAAATGAGTCTGTAATTCCATTTCATGAATCAGTTGTTTTTAGAAAATCTTGATGAAATGGACATTCCTTGTTTACAAAAATTAATAACATCTCAGTGCAGATTGGCAGCTTTTATAATGTCTTAATATTATCCCTCCCGTGCACTGTCATATACAGTAGTTGGATTTGTTTGTTGCTGGGACATTCCAATCCCTATGTTCATAAAAGAGCCACAAAACTGATTATTCAGTAGTTTGTAGTGTTTCAGAGATCTTTGTATCACCCTGCAAGAAGCAAGAATTCAGACATGAAGAAAACTGGATTTTTATGAAAATCTACAAAAGGGTATTTATCTATGTAAAAGTTGTTGATTAAAAATAAAGATTAGGAGCCCAGTGCTGGCTTTTCCTTAAATCTACTGAATCAGAGAAAGTATACTGGGAAGTGTAATTTTCTGATAGTTTCATTGGAAATATGCTGTCAATATTAAAGATGATGCATCGTGATGATTTCACTTGTTTCATCCATACTCTTGGGTTTAGACTCATAAAATGTTTGGGGACATAATGACCACTAGATGTCGCTGTTCACACAGTAGTCTGAGATTGGGCATTCTCTAGGTTCGGCAAGCCCTCTAAAATGGCTCAAGTGAAGATAAACATTAATGACCTTAATTTCTGAAATGAGGGCATCTTCATCAGATCATCCATCTGTACAAAAGCTTGAGGCACATGTAGTATTGATTTCTAATGCTTTAGAAGGGATAACAGTACCACACAATGTCAAACTAAAGAGCTAAACATATACTACTAGCAAAATAAGCACTTTTATCTATTTCAAGATCATTGGTGACTGGCCAGTGTGTTCCTCAGTTTCCAAAGTTTGTATAAATATCATAATTATAAAAATGTCTGAGGTACTAAATTTAGGCTGGCTGTGTATGTCTTAATACATAAATACTGTTTTATTGTTATTGTAATTATATGCCTTTTGAATCTGTTTTCCTTAATTGCAGAGAGTTGTAAATGCTTGCTTGATTTTTGGTCATTATTGATATTGACACCAGAGTTGTAGATATTTGGTGTTGTTTAATGTAGTAGATCAAGATGCTATTCTACTTGTAAGATCAATAAAAGTAATTGGATAATCAATATGAACTATAAAAGTACCGATTTTGTAATCTTTTTTAAGAAAACAAGTTTCTTGGGAGCACCTGGGTGGCTCAGTTGGTTGAATATCCACCTTTGGCTCAGGTCATGATCTCAGGGTTTGTGGTTTTGAGCCCTGCATTGGGCTCTCTGCTGTCAGTGTGGAGCCCACTTTGGATCCTCTGTCCCACTCTCTGTCTGCACCTCCCCCTCTCACACTTGCTCACTCTCTCAAACAACAAGCTCCCCTCCCCCAATTTATTTTCATTTTAAAATCAAAGTATACTGTGGTAATTGGAAGGAGTAAAATAAGCAGAAATTAGGTTTCAATATATTTAGCTACAAGATGGCATAATTTCCTTATAACAATTACTGACTCATGATTTATTTAAAAACACACACTATTATTAAAATGAATGTCAGCTTAAAGAATAACATTGCTGTTGATCATTAAAGAGGTTATTTTGCAGCTACTTAATGGGATAGGCATGAAAATGACAAACACCAAGAGAATATTGTTTTTTCAAAATAGTTTTGTTACATTTTTACTGGATTTCAAAGATTGCTTTTATGATATTTACGTATACTTTTATAGAGCTCTTTTACTGAGTTACGGATTATGGATATCCAAGTTACCATCCATTTTTCTAGCCTTGTGAAGCTTACCCATTATTCTAATCATCAAAAGAAACTGAATACTACTTTTGTTTTACAATGAACAAAGCAAATGAGAACCTAATTGGCTTTGTTTCCCCTGAGTTTGCTTGTAAATCAAAAAGGAACAATACTGAATACCCATGGAAAGGGAAGTGATGTTGTATGCTCAGAAAAGGAAAAATCACCATGGTATGGACACAAAAGTCAAATTAATGCAACGAACGAATTAGTGTTTAGTCATAACCTTCATATTGTTTATGCCACATATTTGGCTCATTTAAATTGTTATTCTCTATGTATTCATATCAGAATGTTTTGATTTTCTAATTTCCCACACTTGTGTTTTACTAGGTAGGGTTCCAAACCAAGTAAGGAAGTATAATTTCTATGATAAATTGTGTATGACATTGTGAAGATGGAGAGAGGAGAAAGAACTCCCTTCATGGCTTAGAAGGGCAGTGCATTGATGAAAGCAATATCTTAGATTACTTGCATTTGAGTTGAGCCCTGGATTTTGTTTTAGGAGAGAGGAAGGACTGACCTATGGGTCACAAAGCAGCAGGGTAGAGCAGGCTCTGAGGTATATGATGACAAGGCCATTCATGTGGAGCTTGAGACAAAACATACTTTTGATGGGCCCTGATCTACTCTGATTCCAGTAGGTGGTGAATCTCATCCAGAGAACCTCATCATAAAGCTCCTTTGAGAAGGTTAGAATTTTTTTCTTCAGCATTTCATTATATTCATTATTTATACATTGGCTCCTTGATTACAAGGTGCGGTCTTTAAATTCCCTTATTAAGAGAAACCAATAGTATGGATGAAAATATAAAAATGTTAATGAAATGTAATGCAAAGGGTAAGGTTTCCATGCTAACAGAAATATTCACATCTGTGTATATAAGTTAATTCCTAATCAGATAGGTAATTTTTGCAGGCATGTGGCTAGTATATATACCTTTTTGTATCATCAGATTAAGCTATCCTTTGAATTTAAGAATCTGATTGTCAACAAAGTCACTTACAAGTGTCAAATATACATCATAATAAACATAATGATGATATATTTTTAGTGATTCCATTTATTAAGGTGAGTGAACAAAAAAAGTAAAGATTTTCACCGAAAAATTGAAATGACTTAAGAACGATTAGCATTAAAAGCAAAGATGGCTGTGTTGTAAAAAAAAAAAAAAAAAAAGTGGCCACAGATTCTGCTTATTTCTTTGCAATGTGATGTTACAAATCATCTTGTCAGAAATACCATCCTCATAGCATGACTATGTTAGGCTCACAGGAAAGGAAGTTAACCAGAGATATTAGACATCAAGCAGTGATGAAAGTCACTAGAGGTCCTTGTTAATACATTGTTAATCCTCCAGGCAGAAGTAAGAAGTATGCCCTCAAGTAAGTTAGAAGAAAGTTTTTCAATCTTGTCACTATTGATATTGTGGGCCAGGTAATTCTTGTATAGATCTGCTTTGTGTGTTTTAAGGTATTTAGCAACCTCCCCTCCTCTAAATGCCAGTAGCTCCCCATTGGTTCCCTGTTTTGGCAACTAAAACCACCTTCAGATATTACCAAATGTCACCTGGGGAGAAAATTATCTTTAGTTGAGCACCTCTGCTCTACATTCAACCTAACAAAGCTGAAAACCAAACTCTGACAAGATCTGCAGAGGAGATAGATATTGGAGGTTGGATTCTGCCAAGTTAGAGTGCTTGGGAAATGTCTTGGATTTCCACATAACTTCCATATTAAAAAAAACCAAACCTACACATTTAAAGGTTATTAGCTAGTAATTAAACTGCCTACTAGAACAAGAATTAATACCCAGAGAACAGAATCCAGAATCTCTGTAAGGTGTCACTATCAATGTCCGGTACACAATTAAAAAATGACCAGACATGCAAAGATACAGGAAAATAGGATCCACAGTCAATTAAAAAAGGAGTAATAAACAGAAGCAGAATGTGATGCGACTCAAATGTTGGATTTAGCAAACACTTTAAAGCAACTAAAGGACAATATATATTCATAGAATTAAAACGTAGTTTGATTGAGCCAAAAGATCTCACATCTTGGTAGAGAAATGAAAACCATAAAAAAAAAAGAACCAAATGGAAATTCTAAAATAGGAAAGTACCATAACTAAAGTGAAAAATTCATTTCACTTTAGTAAGTGATAGTAGATGGGAGATGGCAAAGGAAGGATAGAGGAGCAGAACCGGAGGGACACATGAATAGTATCAACTTGTTTAATATATATGTTATAGGAGTGCTAGAAAGAAAGAATTGGTGGAAGCAAATATATAATTAAATACCAATTTTCCCCAAATTTGATGAAAAATGTTGGCTTTCAAATACAAGAAAATCACTGAATTAAATGAAAAATACCCAGAAAGCTGCACTTAAGGACATCATACTCAGACTGCTGAAAATAACCAGAGAAAAAAGTCACATAACACTGAAGTGGACACTAAAAATGTTTACTGAGTTCTCATCAGAAACAATGGACTTCACAAGACAATGACAATGTCCGTAAAATGCTGATGGGGAAAAAATCCTCAGAATTCTATATTGGGAGAAAATATCCCTTAAAAGTTGAATGAAATAAAGACCTCTTTCTGATAAATGCAAACACAGTAATAAATTGGATCTGGCAGAACTGCAAAACAAAAAGTGTTCAAGGCATTCTTTAGACTGATAGTGGAATCATACCATATGGAAAATCAAATCTACAGAAAGGAAAAGCTAAAAAGAGTGCTAGAAATGGCAAACAAGTGGGTGGTATAAAGACTATTTTTATTACTTCATAATTTCCTTACAAGGCACCTGATTGTTTAAAACAAAACTAATAGCATTGTAAGGTAGACTTTATAATATACAAAGAAGTAAATATATCACCAAAAGAAACACAGAAGTTGGGAGTGATGGGTAAATGGAATGATATTACTGTAAGGCTAGTTAGATATGTGGAGTATGAAGTGTGAAGAGGGGTGTGTCAAGGTTAAGTAACAAGTGTCTAGTGGGAAGCAGTACAGTTTTGACTCCAAATAGACTCTGATAAGAATGCATTGTTGTCACTGAAAACAACTAACAATTACTTTTATAAAAAGCTGAGAAATAGAAGGAATAGAATAAAATACCAGTGAAAAGAGCAACAGAATGAAAAAACAGAAGGGACAAGTGGAAAACAAATACACCATTGCCTTAATTACATTAAATGTAAAATGTTCTAAATGAAGGTCAGATCGTTATATAAGAATGCAAAATACAAGTATATGCATCTATTAGAGATGCATTTTAAAGTTATATATAAATGGATGATAAAAAGATGGAAAGTGTACAGCAAAGGAAGCCATCAACAAAATGAAATGTCAGCCTACTGAATGGGAGAAGATATTTGCAAATAATGTATCCAATAAGGAGTTAATATCCAAAATATATAAAGAAATTATACAATTCAAAACTTAAAAAACAATATGATTAAAAAATGGGCAGAGGAGTTGAATGACTTTTTTTCCAAAAAAGACATACAGATGGCTGACACTTGAAAAGATGCTCAGCATTGCTAATCACCAGGGAAATTCAAATCAAAACCACTATGAGGTAAAACCTCACACAAGTAGAATGGCTGAAAAAAAAAAAAAAAAGACAAGAAATAACAAGTATCGGTAAAGATACTGAGAAAAAGGAACTCTTACGCACTATTGGTGGAAATGTAAACTGGTGCAGCCACTGTGAAAAAAGTGTGGAGGTTTCTCAAAAACTTAAAAATAGAAATATCATGGGGCACCTAGGTGGCTCAGTTGATTGAGCATCCCGCCTTGGCTCAGGTCATGATCTCACAGTTCGTGGGTTTGAGCCCAACGTCCGGCTCTGTGCTGACAGCTCAGAGCCTGGAGCCTGCTTCCCATTCTGTGTCTCCCTCTCTCTCTGCCCCTCCCCTGCTCGTGCTCTGTCTCCCTCTGTCTCTCAAAAGTAAATAAATGTTATTTAAAAAAATAGAAATATCATGTAATCTAATTATTTTATCACTGAGTAGTTACTCAAAGAAAATTAAAACACTAATTTGAAAAGATAAATGCACCCCTATGTTTACTTCAGCATTATTTACAATAGCCAAGATACAGAAGCAACCCAAGTGTCCACAGATAGATGAATGGGTAAAGAAGATATAGTATATATTCAGAATGGAGTATTACTCACTTATAAAAAGGATAATCTTCCATCTGAGACAATCTCAATGGATCTAGAGGGTATTATGCTAAGTCAGACAGAGAAAGTAAAATACCATATAATTTCACTCATATGTAGAATTTGTGAAAACAAAAAAATAAGCAGACATATAA